AAATCATCACATACAGAATAAGACAAAATATCAATGAATGAAGGAATGTTATTTTACTAAGTGTTCGAATTGGATTCTCTCCGCTTCCATACAATAAAATCTTTGCTCCACTTCCGAACGAACATTTCGAAGCATTTCGGGCGTTATCGACGACATTCTTCAACAATTTCGATAAAAAATTTGTTTAATTTTTCGTTTATCTGTCAATACAAAAACTTTATACTCTATAAGTTCAACTTTTTTATCCGTTTTTCTTTAAACGAGGCAATAATGTCTCGTCTTGTATTGTCGAGACAGTATCCTGTAACATCATCACAAAGTCGATTGAATTCCAATTCGTGAAAATGGTTGAAGAAGTGGAAATAATTAATTTGTTCTACAAATGACTGTGTACGGCAGGCAGCACAGATTTTTAATGATCGTCATCCTGACAAAACCACTTCGCATAGTGCATAAATTTTCGGAAATTGGATCGGTTGCAAACAGCAAGCATCAACGTGAACAGGGCGTACGTAATGAGGGTAATCAGGTAGCTGTCCTGGGTCGCATCTCAGGTTCAAGTATAGTTTTTCCGAAGTCAATTGAAGAATCAATATTTTCAAGGTATGTACCAGGCTCGGTCGCTAAGCAGCAACTCAGCATTGAAATATTTGAAAAACTTGTTCCCACATTTATTTAGCCATACCCATATACAGATCTGGTCGAACGAAAAGTGCAGGTGGTAGAAATGTATACGCTCAGTTGAAGAATGAGCGTGTGGGCAAAGAGCAATGCGCACTGTTTCTCTGGTCCATTGCGTTATCAAAATTCAGTTGTCGACTAGTCGCCTAGCAGTGCAGTGCGGGTATGCGGAATTTGGTGTGATTCAGATAATTTTAATTTATTATAGGCACTCTTCTATGAATCATTCATATTACAATTGCGAAAGGGAAAAATAAGAGGGATATTTGGTTTACAAGTGTTTTAAAATCTTATGAGCTTTGACCTTCATATCCGCAGAAACATAATTCCGACCGTCGCCTAAATTATTCTACGTCCTAAAAACATTACATCTATCATTCACAGTCTATCTCGAGCTCTCGTAGCGTAAACAAGCCTTTGATCCGATTACAAATATCATAATAAAATGCCCTATTCTTTATTATTTTAATTTAAGCAATAAAAATATATATAACCAACGTTCGCCAGCCGACTTTATTGATGCCTGAGCGCCTTAGTTCATTTCTGGTTGTAATGAGGCACGTGGTCTAATTTTGAGTCAATGTTTTCACAATGTGCTCATTTGAAGAAGTTTGCGAATACGCCACGCATTTTGCGCATTTCGCGGCTCATGAGATTTTGAAACTACTCTACTAATGTTATTACAACATGGCATTTTGGAGACCTTTTGAAATGGAACAAAACGAAATTTACCATCAATATAATAAAATTGTTTGAGGACATAAATAATTAAAATATGTTGTCGGTAATAATAATAGAAATTTTCTTCAAATTATATACAAGTTATTATAATATTCTACCTTTAGCAGAAAACTTTTTTAGTAACGCCCATGAAACTCATTAAATTTGATTGCTCGGTTTTATTATGCATGTTCAACTGACTTCGGAAGAACTATACTTCAGGAATTTCTGTACCTAGTTGCCGCCGAATCTTAAAAATTCATAAGTATCACCCACACAAAATTAATTCGGTACAAGAAATTAATGAAGACAATCCTGATCGCCGCTTGTAGTTCCGTGAAGTTCGCCGCTTGAGTTCTGTGTGAGAGATCGTGTTCGAAGGAATCCAAATTTTTTATACTCAATCTGTTTTTGCGATGAATGTACGCTCCAACTGGATGGTCGAGTCAACCACCATAATTTGCGCTTCTGGGGTGATGAAAATCCACGCATTTTTTATGAGACTCGTACACAGTATCCGAGGAAATTGAATGTTTGGGCGGGCATACTGGGAGACCATATATAGTCCAAGCATTATAGAGAAATGCTTACAGAAATTATTACCTGGACAAAAAAAATATGACCGTATAGAAAATTAAATTTTAAATTGAGTTTCTTGTTCTTTAAACTCGATCCAATATGGCGAACATGGTTAAAAAAAATCGCAAAGTTGAAAAAAACGGTTTTTCTAAAATAACTAAAAAAATATAGCACGGATTGAAAAATTTTAAATGAGAAAGTTGTAGGTTTTAAAAAGATCTATCGACAGATTTTTTGAAAGTATCGATTGCTTTGTTACTTTTCGAGATATATCGAAAAAACCGTTAAAAATCTTCTCTTTTCTCTTCTTCTATAACTCGTTTACATTTACGTGCCCATATTTGCTATTTACTGCAAGCATAGCCCGCGGCAAGCCAAAAAANCGCAGAAACATAATTCCGACCGTCGCCTAAATTATTCTACGTCCTAAAAACATTACATCTATCATTCACAGTCTATCTCGAGCTCTCGTAGCGTAAACAAGCCTTTGATCCGATTACAAATATCATAATAAAATGTCATTCTTTATTATTTTAATTGAAGCAATAAAAATATATATGACCAACGTTCGCCAGCCGACTTTATGGATGCCTGAGCGCCTTAGTTCATTTCTGGTTGTAATGAGGCACGTGGTCTAATTTTGAGTCAATGTTTTCACAATGTGCTCATTTGAAGAAGTTTGCGAATACGCCACGCATTTTGCGCATTTCGCGGCTCATGAGATTTTGAAACTACTCTACTAATGTTATTACAACATGGCATTTTGGAGACCTTTTGAAATGGAACAAAACGAAATTTACCATCAATATAATAAAATTGTTTGAGGACATAAATAATTAAAATATGTTGTCGGTAATAATAATAGAAATTTTCTTCAAATTATATACAAGTTATTATAATATTCTACCTTTAGCAGAAAACTTTTTTAGTAACGCCCATGAAACTCATTAAATTTGATTGCTCGGTTTTATTATGCATGTTCAACTGACTTCGGAAGAACTATACTTCAGGAATTTCTGTACCTAGTTGCCGCCGAATCTTAAAAATTCATAAGTATCACCCACACAAAATTAATTCGGTACAAAAAATTAATGAAGACAATCCTGATCGCCGCTTGTAGTTCCGTGAAGTTCGCCGCTTGAGTTCTGTGTGAGAGATCGTGCTCGAAGGAATCCAAATTTTTTATACTCAATTTGTTTTTCCGATGAATGTACGCTCCAACTGGATGGTCGAGTCAACCACCATAATTTCCGCTTCTGGGGTGATGAAAATCCATGCATTTTTTATGATACTCGTACACAGTATCCGAGGGAATTGAATTTTTGGGCGGGCATACTGGGAGACCATATAGGGTCTTTCTTCCTACTGAGAAATCTGGATAGAAACATGTATCTGAATCTACTGGAAACGAGCTGTGCATTTTTTTCTTAATCAGAACTTTCTAAATCACTGGATAGGACGCAAAGGCTCAACTCAGTGGCATCCGAGATCGCCAGATCTAACGACCTTAGACTTTCTTCTATGAGGAGACCTAAACTCGAAAATTTATGCAACACGGCCGAAATCACTTGGGGAGCTTCGTCGGCGAATTGTTGAAGAATGTCGGCAGATAACACCCGAAATGCTTCGAAATATTCGTTCGGAAGTGGAGCAAAGGTTTTATTATTGTATGGAAATGGAGGGAAACCAATTTGAACACTTAATAAAATAACATTCTTTCATTCATTAACATTTTATGTTATTTTTTAAGGGACGATTTTATTGTCATATCCAAACCAAAATTTAAAAAAAAGCTTTAAAAATGAGATGTCACATAGAGTGTAATTTAAAGTTTAAAGGTATTTTATGCTCCTGCTTAAGGGGTAGCTTCCAAGACACCAAAACTTACGCCATCACGTGCTGAAAAGAAAATCGACGTGTCTAAGGCTTTTTTTTTGTTAATTCCGATATTTTCCAGGTGGGAAGTTTTAATTGAAACACCCTGTATAGTAATTAGTTGAATATAATATTTTTATATATATTTAATGAAGAACGGTAAAAGACATGAACAAAAACATTATGTCAATCTTGTGGGCGTTACTTCGTTTACCTTTTCAAGTATTGATTTTTGCTGGTAAACGATTTTATTGTATTATTATTAATTACCTATGTAAGATGAAATAAAGAAAAAAAATCAGGAACCTTATATCTGCTTATAGGTTATTTAGGATCGGAGGATGTATATAATATTTAATTTTATTTTAATTAGCAAGAGAGGGCAAAAAATGGATATTAGAAAAAAGCTTTATTTTCAACTTTCATTGGACATTGGAATGATTTTTATTGATTTGAAACGTTCATATAAAATTTTTGCATTAAAATTATATGAAAACATAATAACTTACGCACTAGATAAAGTAAGAGTATTAAAAAAGTTGTACAAAAAAATTACCTTACAGTTACTGATTATTAAATAATACTCGAATTTCAACAGTTAGCATCTCGTGAGGCGAACATTTTAAATCCTGTTATCGGCCTAATTTATAATATATTAATTAAAAATACAAAGTCTTCGTGTATACCGGAAAAATGGTAAATGTGGAGCAGATGATCATGACATCCTTTTTAATTTAGAACATTTCATACATCAACTTTCTTAATCGCAGATTCTTAAATACCTGTTTCCTTGCGAAAGAAATAAGTTCTGGTAACAGCTACGCAATTAATTCGATTTTTATGGTATACTTGTACTAGAATCATATCAAAATTATTTTCCTCGCATCGAGACTAAACTTCTAATGAAAAATCACCCTTATATGTATTTCATTTACAGGAAACGGGTTTGGAGAACAATTTCCATTCATGATGTATCGTAATCATAGTTTCTTGAAAATAAGATGATACGTTTTTCTACCAACTAGATATTTTCTATATAAACTTGTTAAATTGCAATTGTATTATCAGTCGTTTGCAGAATTGCAACAGTAAAATGTTCTCGAGAATATTGTTATCAGTACTGTTCTTATGTTTATGTGTCTCAGCCGAAGATAAATCACAACCAAAGATTGTGAAAAGTGAATACAAAAAATCTTTATCACGGGATTGTATTAATGCATATTCAGCAACATGTTTAAAATTAGACATATTATCCTGGGTGGACAAGTTAAATGAAGAAGACGATTATAGTGTTTTACCAGGTGTCTCAGTGATTCGAGAAAATAACAGTGTTGGGGCTAATACCGCAGATTTGGTCGCCGAACTAGCCCGAGACTTTCCAAATGATCCGGATGCCCGACTTGACGCGTTTTTAATAAAAAAAGTAACTTCATATTTCAACAGTCATTCCATTCGTTTACATTTATTGGATCAAAACACTGTGGAAACCGCTAGAGGTGGGGGTGGGGGAGGTGGAGGCGGCGGTGGCAATAAAGGTGGCGGCGGCATGGGTAACATGGGTGGCATGATACTCGCTGCAGGAGCTATGATGAAAGGGACGTTAATGGCCTTAGCTCTTGGTGGTATTGCAGCTTTAGCTGGTAAAGCTCTGATGACTGGCTTAATTTCACTTTTATTGTCAGCAATAATTGGATTAAAAGCTCTCACACATGGACATAAATCTACAACGTACGAAATTGTGTCAAAGCCAATATATTCTCATTCGAATACCCATTCTGTGTCTCATGAAGATCATGGTCATGGATATGGTCACTCTTCTTATGGGCGTAGTTTTAATATGCCTTTACCTCTGGGGTTACAACCAGATTATAACCCTGAAATCAAGTGATGCCTTTATATGTTATTTATTTATTACTTTTGTTATAATGTAAGTGTAAATTGTTGAAAATACACTTAAGTTAATATAAATTCTGGTTGTAGATTACTGTATAAATAATTCAAACTTTATTTATTTGTAATCATAATATAGTGTTAGTAGTTTTAAAGAAATATTTTTCCTTTAATCTGTGCTAAAAACTTTATAGTAAAAAATGAATATTGTATACTTTTACAAGTCATAATACTAATACGTGTCGATATTTAAAAACTGAATAGCTACTATACTGAAATGTTCCTATTGTCAACTAAAGTATATTCCATGCGGAACAGCTGAAATACAAAGAAGCTTAGTATTTCCATTTGAGACTTTTCATATTTATCAATTTCTCTTTGTAGTATGGTGAAAGCGAAATAAAATAGTCCAAGTAAAAGATTAAGATCAAATTTCTCTTTACTAATAAGTGAATAGAGGTGGTGGGGTACTGAATTAATGTCTAGAGCGAGTTCATCTAGTTTAAAACGTATCATAATAATTATAAAAAGTGTGAATACTAACTGTTTCTAAAAAATAAGAGAAATAGTGCGGTGATGGTACATCCGGAAATCTGTTCGCCACTTAACTCCGTAGATATCAGAGTCGGCTTTTTGTTTTTTCAGAGGGCCACGTATACGTATGATTTATTAATGATATTTTAAAAACCTTAACATTAATTCAATATAAAATACAATAAAGTAAATTTTATTTACATATGTTTATTAAAAATAATTAACAATTTGATTTAAATCTTTGATTTTACTCTTCATTGAAATTTTTTTTTTAAATAAAAGTTTAAGAAAAAATGACATGTATCTATTACATCTGCAGTTGATCCCTACTTGAAAAAAATGTTGGTAGGTGATGCTAATTTTTACATTCAAATCCTGTATGTTATAGCGATGGGTACTGGCTTCAAAAAGAACCTAGAATGAGAACTGAGAAGTTGAAATAACGAATATCGTAAAATTGTGTACTAAAAATGCATAAACTTAAATATCTATTAATTTATCAAATATATTAATTGGATTAAAGTTTTGATTAATAAATAATGTAATATACATGTATACCCTCAAAATAATATATATTTTTTACTTATATTTGACATAGAAAAATAGAAAAAAAACTAGGATCATATTATTGTTTTGTATTATTGTATTGTATAAGCTAAAAATCAAAAATATTTAAAAATCTGAATTCAGATAGAATCAGTGTAACATGAGAAAAATAAATAAATGCCAATGTTAGGAGATGCCGACTCTGTTCAAAAAGGTATCGAATTTATGCCCGTCACCTGCGCTTACAATTACTTTGTGCTCCACTAACTCCATTCATCTAAGTCTTGGACATTAATTTAGATGATAAAAAAACGTACATTTTAATCTAGATGTTCCAGTATATAAGCAGCTACGAATTTTATAGAAGTCATCAGTTCATCACTACAGTATTAACGAGTAACACTAAATATGTGGTGTACACACAATGTAGTAGTATTCGTTCTTTTGTTGGGTTTTACCGTAGCAGACGAGGTTAAACAAAGTGATAGAAGTGAATATAAAAGAGCATTAACCAAAGACTGTGAAAACTCCTATTCTGCAACGTGTTTAAAGTTGGACATTGTTTCTTGGGTGGACAAACTTAATGAAGATGATAACTATAGTGTTTTCCCCGGAGTTTATATTGTGCGGGAAAATAGTAGCGCCAGAGCTAACACAGCTGACATTGTTGCAGATCTTGCCAGAGACTTCCCGAACGACCCTGAAGCTCGACTGGATGCATTCCTCTTGAAAAAGGTGCAGCAATATTTAAGTTCGCATTCCGTAAAACTCAATCTCTATGAAAATGACAACACTGTTTCCGGTCAAGCCCGTAAGGGCAGTGGCGGAGGTGGCGGAGGCGGTGGAAAGAAAGGTGGCGGTGGAATGGGGATGATTTTAGCTGCCGCCGCTATGATGAAGGGTACTCTTATGGCTTTGGCAATGGGTGGTTTGGCTGCCCTAGCTGGAAAAGCGTTAATGACAGGTCTTATATCCTTACTGCTGTCTGCCATTATTGGACTAAAATCGTTATCAGGTGGTGGAGGAAAAACTACATACGAAGTTGTTTCCAAGCCTGTGTACACCCATTCCAATTCTCACTCCTCCTCCCATGAGGACTATGGTCATCATGGTGGTGGTGGTGGCCATTCAGGATATGGAAGAAGTTTTGACATGCCTCTACCGCTTGGATTGCAACCCGAATACAAACCACAATAATACTTATATTTATTTAATTTATTTATAATAAAGTATTTATTTTTTTTACTCGTATATGCGTTTATGTTTTTATCTCAGTTATATCCTTAGAGTACAAGATAAAAATCTACATATTTTTCTTCAAAATGTGTATCAAAATCCATCCATCAACGTTATCCAGTTTTTAAATATTTTCTATGCCATTATTTGCCTCATGATAATATATTGAAATTCAAATTTTCACATATTCAAGTAAAATAGATTGAAAAATATTAAATATTTTGGTTTATATAAGATAGCAAATTTATTCGGTGTAAATAAATTTGTAATAAAATAGATTTTCTAAACTTGCTGTGAAGTAATCTGATTTTCAGAGATATAAACCCATCTTGTGTATTTTTGTGTTGAGAACAGCCTGTGTATTGGGATGGATCGCTTTCTTAGGATTAAAGTGTTAAAAGATTTGATAGATCTATCTTTAACAGTAAGAAAGATATGATAAAAAGAGTGTGCCATAATCGTAACGTACTAGAGGTCACACATCGTTTGTTCTCAACGATTTTGCCAGTCGGTTAAAATTGTTTCGAACAAAATTGTTGCAAAGGTGTATGGGAGAAAACTGACAGGTAAATACGTCGGTTTTACGCTTATATTAAATGAATAATTTTGCTCGAAACAGTTTTATCGCACGGGCAAAATCATCAACTATGAAGGAAGTGAATGGGGCTCCTACTAAAAGATTAACAGTTATCAAGCAATCAAATCTGTCTATAACTAGCACATTCTTTAGGCTATATCTTTTTCATTACCTATTACAGATAGATCTCTTTCTGTATTCATATTGGAATATGTAAAAATATACATTTTTTATTAACAAAAAACCCATTTTGATACAATATTTAGAAATTATAAATGTATTCATTTTGGTTGACTCGGATGTTTTATTACAAGATTTGATTCCATAAGTAATATGTAAAAGTTAAAACCAGCAATGTAGGCATTGACATTAAAATTTCCGCCCAGAGTAAAACAGCAAATACTATAGATTTTTATACATATACATATAATAAGAAAAACCGAAATGACTGTAATACAAACATAAGTCGAAAACTTAATTATACAGGGTGTTCTACGAAACAATATTTTTTAATGTAACTTAAAGAAATGGTTTGTTTTAGATTCTTTTTAGTATTACAATAAACTATAGAAATATACAGGGTGTTCGTTTCGAGTCCTCACCTCTTCACAATTCCACAAATATTTATACGTTATGTCAGTGACCCTCAAATTCAGCTTTTCTGATATGAAATCTTGACGTGAAATCAAATTCATTTGGAACAATTTTTAAACATGTAAACAGCATATAACGGTTACGAATTTAGAAACTATGTTCATTTAAACAGTTTTTCTTATTTAATGCCTAGAGTGGCTCCTCCAAATACTTTAAAAATATAACCATCTAAAAGTAGTATTTTTTCAACGTTTTTTGTCATATACACTTTTTCGTCAACATTAGTATTTTTTGAGATATCCCATTATTTATTTTGAACACCATATTTTTTTAAATACATTTTTGTTGACTTTTACTTTAAATATTAGGAATTAATAAATCGGTATGATTTGAAAAAAAAAAGAATTTTAAGTTCAGACATTTTGCAAAAATAATATCACTAATAAGTACTGAATAAAGGTACAAAGTACATCTTACTATTGTTAAAGAATATTAACTTACTAATAAACGTTTATTCAAGAAAATTAAAATAAACTATAAGTAAAAAATGATTAAAATGAATTAATACACTAAAGGAGCTGTTCAAAATTTTCTCCATTTTGGTAGATACACATTTCGAATCGTCGTCTCAGTGCGGTATCACAGGCACTCGATAATGTGTGACGGTCAATTGCAGTACAGGCTGCCTGAATTTTGTTGCATAAATCGGCCAAATCCTCTATTGGCTCTTCATACACAATATTTTTTAAATGACCCCACAAGAAAAATCAAGGGGAGTCAAGTCTGGTGCACGTGCAGGCCAACAAATTGGTCCATTTGTTCCAAACCACCTGTCGCCATATGTGGCGTGCAAATAATCTGTGACAATTCTTGCATTGTGTGGGGGAGCACCGTCTTGCTGAAACCACAAACTGCGCCGCACATTAATAGAGATGTTTTCTAATAACTCGGGTAATTCATTTTGGAGGAAGTTTAAGTTTAAGGTGCACATATGAACATCTTACTTAACAGTTTTCTTTTAATTCTATAGAAACCGATTTTTACAAAAATGTTAGTATCACATTTTTCATACAGTAAATGCATGCTGTTAATAAAATTCGATTTTCTCAAAAACGGTACAAGATATCGACTGATATACGGTATGCTTTTTTTAGTAATGTGAGAGAGGAATCGAACTATGAAAGAAAAATGTGAAATTTGGCAACGCTGTCAAAGATGTATAAATTTAAATGGATAATTTCGTCTGCTCCTGTATAATCCAGACATATTGAATATTAGTTTAAACTTGGAAATGAACATTATCATGAGTTACTTTAATTGCCCAAATTTCATTGTTGTCATGGTAACGACTTAGAAGTTATAATTGGAATTTGTTTTTCAGACTTCTTTCTTTGAAGGCGAATAACCACAACGAAGTACTACAACTATTTTGACCTCCACTGTATGCTTCTTCATTTTTGACACGAATTTCCGGACACCCTGTATATACGATTTATTGCGTTTTTGTCCAAAAACTGCCAATATCTCAATGAAGATGCATTTTTTCGAAAAAAAGTTTCAAATAAAAGTTGTTCAAAATTAATTTTCTTACAATATTGCTGTTTCTCCAATAATTTCCTGTATTAAATGAAGTACAGATTATGTGAAAATTAATGTTTTCGAGTCAAAAGAATGGTCAATTCATTTTTAAATAACAAAAGTGAATTATAGAAATTGCGGAAAATTCTTGGAAAAATCTTATATGTATAGTGTTCCGAGGTTTGAATATTTAAGAACAAACGTATAATTTTATAGGTTTTCGAGGGTGTATATTACGAATAATTATGCGCTTTTTAATATTTTCCAGAAAAATATGTTTCCTTTGAAATTTTTTCTTTTTGGAATAAAATATAAAAATTTGTAATATAATGAAATTAAAAATTTAAATTTGATGACAACCGGAAACAAATTTTCTGGAGCTGCAAAGGTATAATAAAAAAAATATCAATATTTATTATTATTTATTTATAATTAAAAAACAACTTTTTTATTTATTATTTTTAACAATTTTTTATGGACTTCCATATCTAGGTTTCTTATGTAAAACTGCTTCATCGCTGTCGCATTCTTCGTCTTCGTTATCTTCGTTATCCTCTTGTAATGAACCAGTTTTAGTTTCTATTTTTACGTTAGGGCTTTTGCCAATTATTTTCATTAATTAGTTTAACCCGGTCTGTATAATCAATAGTTGTTCATTAAGAGCAATTATAAACCGACGAAAATAAAAATATTACGACGAGGGGAATATAGTTCAAAATATAGGAGAGGAGTTTAAGAAGATTTGAAGCTGTTTAGAATAATAGAAATAAAATAACAGAATAATAGAATCATAAATTACTTAATAGAATAATACATATAAATAGAATAATAAAAATAGAAGTTTTTATCAACTTTGATATGCAAATGTTATTTTGCAACCCTCCTTTTTGAAGTACAAGTTTTCAAAATAAAAAAAAAGAGTAGATATTTCCAAAATTGTATTTAGATTTTTAGATGAACACATTTTGTAAATTCAATTAAATAAATTGTATATTTATTTAAATGTATCATTTTTATAAGTTGATAATTTGTATTAAAACGGGAAGAAAAGTTATGCAAAACACACAATATATTATTTACATTTCAAATAAAACCTGTATTTTAAAACTGACAAACAAATTTTTCTTTTTCAGTGTGCTATAACTTCTGAGGAAAATATAATTGGCTTACCTCACATCTGCGCCATAGATTTGAAATACAACTTAATTTTGTCATATTGAATGCAATTTTATATTAATAAAATACATTAGTATTACGTACACAAAGTTTCGTTTCAATATCTTCAGTAATCAGTAGATATTCAGAAACATGTTGCATATTTTTAAAAAAACTTCAACATTATCTCAAAAACGAAGGTTTTTAAAACAAATGGCTAAGTAGGAAAATACATATATTAAATTTGCGCGAGAAAGATACTCGAGATTAATTTTTGATATGTTATAGCGTTACACGCTTTATATACTGTGGCCCAAAGGTCCCGGAATAGCAAGATTAAATAAATACATTCCTTTTGGCATTTTTTGACGTGTAAACAAATGTTTACATTTATTCCCCCCACAAGGTCCCTCCCCTTTTTTTAAATTAGGCAGTATGGCTTGTGATTTAATGGCTTTGTTTTTAAACATTATTTTTTAAATGTCCCCAAAAGAGGTAATCTATGGGTGTTATGTCAAGATAGCGTGCTGGCCATTCAATAGCACCCGTTCTCCCAATCCATCTATTCGGAAACATTTGATCCACGAATTGCCGAACTCCAATACCAAAATGAGGTGTTGTACTGTCCTGTTGAAACCATATTTTGTCAAAATTAATGTCTAAGTTTTGTAAAGCAAGTACAATTTGATTACGTAACATTTGTTCGTACTTACTTTTGATCATTTAAGTTACCATCAATTACAAACGGACCAATAATGGTCGTACCATACCAGCTCACGTATTTATTTTTTGAGGTCTCTGAGTGTGTTCTTCTTTCATCCAGTGAGCCTTCGATCATAATCATCTTCACGTAACTCTTGCAGTAAATGTATTTTGTAAAGTGTGAAAGAGTTCATTTTTCTAATTCGGCAAATAGATGATCTACTACTTGCATCATGTCTCTAGCAGCCTTACGCACAGAAGTATGAGAATCTTCCACAAAACTTTGCATACTTCAACAACGTTACTGTCATTAGTTGCAGTTCTTGGGGGGTCCTGATGGGAGCACAGTTGATTTCAATACTGGCATTCTGTTTTTAAATGTATCATTAACTAAATAAACTAC